GCTACCAGGACTCTTTAGATCATGGAAAATGTTGCTTTACTAACATATTAATATGTTTGTTATAAATGATTAATTTTGGAGCATACGAGGCATTTTTCCATGATCTAAAGAGTCCTGGTGTTGTACTGTAGCATAAACACTGGACTTCTAACTACAGGGTTGACCTTGCGATTCAAAGTGACCTTACTTATCCTACAGTGCCAAAACAGGATTATTAATTGAAGTTGCTTTCTCCATATATAGTTAATATGTCTTTTACTTTCGAGAGTGGAGTTATGTGACTCTATTCCTTTATGAATGAAAGCAATGTTCCCAAGTATGTTTTTTAGTGTGTGTGATTGACAATGTTACAATTTGTATGCAAATATAAAATGTTGAGCTTTGTTGAACAGAATGAAATCTCTTAATGACATAAAACTTAAACCAAGTTGTTCTGGAACATGTTTCATTATGTGTTGTTCTTGTTGTTGTTAGGTGCCATTGAGTTGGTACCGACTCATAGTGACCTTATGCCCAACAGAATGAAACACTACCCAATCCTGGGCCAACCTCACTATTGTTGCCAAACTTGAGCCCATAGATGCTGCCACTTTACCAATCCATGTCACTGGGGGTCTTCCTCTTTTTCTCTGACCCTCCACCCTACCAACATATAATGATGTGATTTTTAAGAGTCTGGGGCCCAGTGCGGGGTGATCATTAATGCACAGGCCATAGTAGATGCCCATCAGGTATTTGCACTTTGAAACATTCTAAATTGAGAAACACTGCAGAGAAAAAATCAGTAAACGAACCCATGTAAATATGTGTTTTCTTGTTAGTCAAGTATACAGACCACTTTTAATGTTGGTGCTTTGTAAAAATGACAGCACAAAAGGGGTATTTCATTAGTGGGGAGAGGGAAATAATCTTGAAATGTTACCGTGAAAGTATTTTTCTTCTGACAGGTAAGGATGAATTAGCAAATTAGGAGAAATGTTCACAAAGAAGCAGTGCAATCAATTACTTGGTCTAAATATGCATCCTGGATCCAGAGAAGACAAACATTAAGAGTTCCCCATGACATTAGCTGTGGTCCTAAGGGAAAGCAGATACTTAGAATTCTTAATATAAGGAAAATTAGTACAAATTTAACTCTTGTATCTGTGAAGGATTGTTGTTGTTGTTAAGTACCGTGGAGTCGGTTCTGACTCATAGTGACCCTGCACAGGAATTCTGAGGCTGCAAATCTTTATGGGAGCAGAAAGCCTCATCTTTCTCCCATTGAACAGCTAGTAGTTTTGAACTGCCGATCTTGAGGTTAGCAGCCCGATTTGTAACCACTACGCTACCAGACTGCCTTTAAATGACCTAAGATCAAGTGTGTGAAGATTCTGCCTAATTTTAAGCTATGGTACAGAGAGTAGGAAAGGAGCTCTGGTAGCATAGTGGTTACGAATCGGGCTGCGAACCTTAAGGTCAGCGGTTCGAAACTACCAGCCGCTCTGCGGGAGAAAGATGAGGCTTTCTACTCCCGTAAAGATTTACATCCTCGGAAACCCTGTACAGGGTCGCTATGGGTCGGACCCGACTCAAAAGGCACTTAACAACAACAACAATAACAACAGAGAGTAGGATGGGTCTTCTCTGAGTTTCATAGGTACCTGTGACTCAAGTCACAATATCTTGTCTGTCCTGAATATTAGAGAATTATGTAAACTTTGCCCCATGGTGTAGATTTTTGTAAGGGTTATTATTTCTGATTGCTTTTAAATGGACTGGTGTTTCAGAGATCTCTGACATGTTATTGCTGTTTTTAAGTGCCATTGAGTTGCTTCTAACTCCTAGTTACTCTGTATAGAATTTCTGAGAAGTGGATGGTGAGTTTGAAATGACTATCTTGTGGTTCAAACTGACCTTGCAGTCCAGAGCATTTACAGATCATTTACTAAGGGTGACAGAGATGGCTATCAGCACTTGGATTAGGTGATCATAAACTCCTTAAAATTACATATAATATTGATTCTATGTTCAGGTTTCATGCATGCTTATGGTATACAGAGCAAACATTTTGTAGGGGAATGTGAGATTTTTAGATATGTTTCTGCATCTGTAGGTTAACTTTCATGAGGAGCCTACAGAGGATTTAAAATACATGTTCACAGTTCTGATATAAAAGTAAAATTGGTACTTAAGAAAACTCAGGAAAAAATATGGAAGCTTTTAGATCCTAGATGCCATATTATTTTCAAATTTGTAGTGTTCTAAGAAACAGGAAAATCAAAATTTTTTCTAAACAAGAAAAGCGTCTGATGGTTTTAGCCTTTAGGTCATAAATCTCTTTTCTTTGCTCTTTTTAAACAATTTCCTGATGTCTGCACACTGATCTGTCAACTCCAGAAACATGGCAGGAATTGAAAGGGCAGTTTCTTATCATGAAAACCTCTAAATCTTTGAGTAAGTTTTAGAGAAAACAGTAACATGCTGGTTATTATCATATTTTTTAAATAAGGTATTGACTACATGGCTAGAGTTGTACATCTGGAAATTCTTTAACTACTCCTATCTACTTTTTAAAATGAGCAACCACAAAGCCATACATGTGTGTGGGGATGAATGTTACATTATCAAATTTAAAAACAAACAAATGAACAGAATGGAGCTGTATATTTATATATCCTTTCTTTCCTATAGGATTAAATTACTAAACAGACCACAGCTCAATTAAAGATATTTTGTTTGAATGTAATTTGAAATTATAGAGTTTCTGCCTGCATTATACATAACATGATTTCTTCTATGTTGTGATTTAGTTTTTGCCACAGCAACACATTAATTCTTTTTCAAATGTGAACCATTAAGGTAAACTGTTTGAAAACAATATTGAACATTGCAAATTAACTTCTTACCATTCTTTTATCATTTGCATATCTAATAAAATTCTGAAATATCCATAGGGAAATTGGTTTGGGCAGTTATTTTAAGATTTATCATTTCTCTTTTCCTTAGTAGTTTAAAAATTGGAATAAGAATGAAAATACAATACATAAAA